GCCTAGCAAGATGGAACGGTGACTCCTGAGCATGGGTCTCTCTCTTGCAAAACTTGTTGAGTGGAGAGAGGTCAACTGTACGACGTGGAGACCCGTCGTGCTTACGGGTGACCACCATCCGGTGACACCACGTTACCGGCTCACCATACGGCACTCTCTCGATGACCTCAAGTGCCTCATCTCGCAACAGGTCCTCATATACTTTCTGTTGCCAGTGCAATGGTATGGACGCAGCGGTGTGGCAGGCACGTGGTTTGGCATTGGGGTCGATGTGGATCTCAACCGGTGGTCCTGCCATGGCCGGCAGTGGGCGGTGAGGGCACGTGTTGAATGTAGACGCTTCAAAGTATGTCACCAGCCACTCCTTCATTTTCTCATTGTTCTCTGCGGTGCAGGGGAATGGTAGCGCTTGGGGTCTGGGTGGGGCCTCCTTGCGCGGTGGGCAAGAGCAGTCCATGGGGTGCTCAGATGTACCACTGTCAGTGAGTGGTGCAGATATGCTCGTAGTATGCACAGAAGCCTCACTTCGTGCACTACCAATGGTGGGGAACGTCTTACCAATGATCTCCAAATCAACCATAGTGTCAAATGAGAGGAAAAAGTCACGTACATCCTTGCTGACATATACCATGGTGGTGGTGGATACATCTCTGCCGCCCGGCGCTTGGCCACGCTGATGTTCACTCTAGGATGCTGCGTAAGTCGAGCGCGCCGCCATTCTCCAGCGCTGAAGATACGGTGCTCCAAAGGGACCTGTGCGTGACACTGGCGCTTACGTCGGCGTCGGGTACCACCATTAGCCCGAGGAAATGAGGTCGTGTGAGATGTAAGTTGCGCCACAACTGGGGAGTGGGTGTCCAGGAGCGCGTTCATCCCGGTAGGAGGTGGCAGCGCACGATCTTTCCTGTGTGGCCTACGGCGACGATCACGGAAACAATCAAGACACTGCCTGTGCGGCTTCGTGTTCCACCCTCTAGCAGATTCTTTGAATAGACGGTAGGACTTGCCACAGTCAGGACATTCCCCTGTTCGGGACCTGTCGGCGAACGCTGGTAGCTGCTTCCCAGTGCTTGCAGGGTGGTATTCCTGCGCAGCGTAGAGCTTCTTGAAGGTGGACACTGATGATAGCGAGGGGACGGATGCAGATGCTGATGGGAGGGCATTACGAGCTTTCTCCTTATTCTCAACAAGGGCAATAACATCATTGATTGATTTCTGTTGAATATCATCGGCACCAAGAGCATCACGACGAATGTCGATATCAGCGATCCCAGCTAGCAGAACATCACGAATAGTCTCATCTGTATAGTCGCACACGACGATTTCGCTACACCGACAGGTAGCCTTTGACCGGAAGCCGCAGGTCTCTGCTTTGCCTCGAACCCGTGCAGCAAAGTTACGGAATAGTTCGTCAGGTCCTTGCTGCATCTGGACTAGCTCTGTGGGAAGCACACCTGTCGCTACGGAAATGACTGCATGGGCGCGCATCACATTGAGGACCTCCTGTGTGTTCTTCTCAGGGATAATGGAGTCTGTCTTAAGAACGACGTCACAGAGAGACTCACGGGCACATTGCAGTAACTGTCTTGGGGCCGCTATGTTATCAATGCCCGAGCCAATTCGAAATGTCTCCCAACGGCGTATAAATGTGTTCCATAATTCAGTCTCAACCCCCATATCGATACGGGGGCGCTCCATCTTGGGGCCCTGGGAACGGGCACCTCCAGACTGGTGTGAGATGGCATAAACCTGAAGGGAGGCAACTGCGACGGCCTCCGATGCATCGGGGGTCTTGTACTCACAAGCGTCGATAGGGCAATCAATGACAACCATTATGATGGCTTGATGTACACGTCAGGCTGGTACGGTGTTGTGCACATCTACGCGTGCCGCTTGCATGAAGAAAGACTCATTCCAGTTTTGTTGTTTATTGAAGTAAGGAATGCAAGCGGCATGCTACAACAAATAATGAAAGAAACAATCAAGCTATGGCCTAGACACGCCAATGAGGCTACATATTTACGGTTGCACAATTGACAAATAACACGTAGAATAAGCAAGATCGTGATAATACAAGTGCATAGGAATAAAGATAAAACGAACGAAATGTCTCAATAGTACAGTCAGTTATCTACTAACCTTAGCAGATATGCACAAAAGTCCGAGCAATGAATAACGTGCAAATGGCGCGATATGACAGAATTTAACGGGACGTTGGCCGCGCCCTCTGTGTGTAATAATAGAATCGAATCGTCTTAAAGGCGTTACGTCCCTAACGGTTACATACGACTCGGAAACTCTACACCTCTGGAGTTTTTAGCCGAAATGTCTTACTTACACTATATATATATAAGCGTAAGCGTGCAACAGTGAGCCGCGAGAGCAATGGCCGCCGGCCGCGTATATGGTTGCACGTAGGATTTGGACGGAATTTACAAGAAACTGTCGGCAATAATAGGTAAAAGAGAGTATAGAAACATTAAGAATTTGGTAGTAAATAGATTTCGTATTTAGTTAGCATTATATTTTATTGAAACGCTTCAAGTGCCTGTGGCAACGCATACTAGTTGTGCGCAGGCACGAACCAACAGTGACGCCTGTAGTCGTAGACGCGCCGCAGAATGAATGCACCCCCGGGTTACAGCCTATCGCGCGCAGTTCGTGAGAACCCACGACGCACCTAATCAAGCCAGCCAGATTACGTGCGTGTGCTGAGAGGTAGCGTGTTTGCCCCTTCCATTTGTTAACATTTATTTACAAGTAAACCCCAAAATGTATCTGGTTCACATCATGTTAAATATTACTTGTGGTTTGTTTTTATTCACTACTGTTTCTATACTTAAAGGCTCACAATGCGCATCCAATGCTAATTTCTTCAGTACTAGACTAGCAAATACTTCGTGTCATGCATAATCATACTACCTTATGGCAAAATAAACTCTAGTTCCTCCCATTTCACTGCGCGTTGTCTTATAAAAGGTATTTTGAAAATACCTCCAATGTTGTTGAAATTCTCCGATGTTGTTGACAGTTTCCCCAATCCCCAAGCAACTGCAGCGGTAAGGGCGCAGCAAAGATAAAAACATGTGAC